ATAGAAACGATCCTGTATTTGGTACCGGTATCACAGTATAATTTGGTCCTTGCGTGTTTTTTTGGCAGATTTCTTTGTTGTCTTTAAGAGTGTTTTTGTTTGCCAATTACTTGTTAGTCATTTTTTGTTTAGCTATAGTTTTAATGGGTTATAGTTGTTTTTGGTGTTCTGGAGTTCTTTTGCAGATTTTTTTCCCAACCAAATTAAAAAATACACAATGTATTATGAGATTAGATCAATTGCTTCTATTTGAAAGAGCAACATTAAGTAAAAGTAAAACTAGCCCTAAATTGCTAAATAGGAGTTCTAAAAAATTACTTTTAGAATAAAATAAGTATCATACTAATACATAAAATACTTTTAGAATAAAATATTTTTTCCAACCAAGTATTAAAAAATACTTGGTTGGAAATTACTTTAAGGATACATAAAAAATTACTTTTGGAATAAAATAAGTATTATATTAATTCTAAATTTCAAATAGCTATAAATCTTTGACATTTAAGAAGTGTTTTCATTTCCTTTTATATACTAAACTCAATCACTGATCCTTATATGATAATACTTATATTGATAGAGTGTTGAAGTTGTTCTCTTTGAGGTGAGGATGTCGATAGATAAGAGTTGGATATATATATATATATATATATATATATATATATATATATATATATATATATATATATATATATATATATATATGAAGAATCGATTGTCGGAAGAGTATTTGGATGGTTTACAAGGTTTAATAGACTATGCAAAAGACTTTGTCAATGAAGAAGGAAATATAAGTTGTCCTTGTAAGCGTTGTGTGAATGGAAAAATGTTCCCATTGAAAGACGTTAAGTGACACATCTTTGAATATGGGTTTGATGTGACATATGCACATTGGGTTTTTCATCGTGAGCCACATGATATACCACCATTTTCTGAATTCAAATGTAGAATATGAGGCAGAGGATGAAATGGTTGCAGTATAAAATGACATTGCAGGGGAAACTCGCGACCATGGCATAAGAGGCGAGACCACATCTAATATGGGTGATGAAGTGCATACTGAATTTGAGGATATGTTATTTGAGCTTCACAGTGAGTTGTATCCAGGGTGCATTAAGGTTTCTTCGCTATATTTTTTAGTAAAACTTATGCACTTGAAACTACTCTATAAGTGGCCAAATGAGTGCATGGATTCAGTGCTAAAGTTACTAAAAGAAGTACTTCCTGATGGTAATAGGTTACCAACTTCTCATTACGAGTCAAAAAAAAGTTGAGCAAGTTGGGACTAGGCTACGAAAAGATTCATCTATGTAGGTATGATTGTGCTTTTTCTGGAAGAGTCATGCTGATTTGCAAACATGTCCAATTTGTAACACGAGTCGGTGGAAAAATGAAAGGGGGGAAAAAGTTCCATGGAAAGTTCTCCATAATTTTCCACTGAAGGATAGATAGAGATGATTATTTGTTTCACGACACACCTCCAAAGAAATGACATGGCATCAAGGGGGTAAATCAACTAATCCATACATGATGCAACATCCAGTTGATAGCAAAGAATGGAAAGAGTTTGATGAGAACTACCCCAACTTTGCTAGTGAACCACGAAATGTTAGGTTGGGGTTATCTGCGGATGGATTCAATCAAATTGGAAACATGAGTTTATCATATAGTATGTGGTCAGTTGTTGTGGTTGTATACAATCTACCTCCATGGTTGTGTACTAAAGATCCTTATAAGTTTTTAACTTTACTAATTTCAGAACCAACTTCTCCTGAAAAGGATATTGATGTGTTCTTGGAGGCCTTTCATTGATGAATTAAAAGAGTTGTGATCAGAAGGGATGGTTATACATGATGGAGCTACAAACATGTGCTTTCAAATGGGGGCTGCTTGACTCGTGACTATTAGTGATGTTCCCACTCGTAGTAGTCTATCTGGTTGGAGTGGTCAAGGCTATTATGCTTGTTCTTCATGCAATGTTGATACCCCATCCATGCGTGTCACAAGTAATGTTATGTTGGACATCGAGCATGGCTACCGACTCACCACATATTGAGGAAGAATAAAAAGTTTAATGATCGAGTAGATAAAAGCACTCCTCCAAAACAGAAGTCCAAACGAGAAATATTAGACCAGTTACGAAATGTTGTTACTCGTGTTCCTGGTAAGCATCCAGATTTAGGTGGGAAGAAGCGTAAACGTAAAAGAAAACCACATGAGTTAAATTGGACCAAGAAAAGTGTTTTTTGGGAATTGCCTTATTGGTCTTCTTTGTCATTGCGTCACAATTTAGATGTGATGCATATAGAGAAAAATGTATGTGAAGGCTTACTTTGTACAGTCTTGGGCATTGATCAAAAAACCAAGGACACAAACAAAGCAATAATTGATTTGGTCAATTTGGGAGTTCGAGTTGAGTCCTGACGATTGCGCAAAGTTCTGACGATTGCGTTCACGTTGAGTCCTGACGATTGCGTTCACGTTGAGTCCTGACGATTGCGCAAAGTTCTGTGAATTCTTAAAACATGTATGATTTCCAGACGGTTTTGCTTCCAACTTGGGGAAGAATGTGACAGGGGGGACTAACAAGATTTCATGTTTTAATTCACATGGTTGTCATGTTAATATGCAACGATTATTGCCCACCGGCATTTGACCATTCCTGAACAAAGAGATAGTTGATGTTATCACCGAGCTATGCAATTTCTTTAAGTTGGTATGCTCGAGGAAAGTGAGAGTAAGAGATTTGAAACGAGCTCATAAAGACACTGTTGTTATATTGTGCAAACTAGAGATGATCTTTCCTCCGTCTTTCTTTGATAGCATGGTTCATGTTACCATGCACTTACCTGAGGAAGCTATTCGAGGAGGGCTTGTTCATTTAAGATGGATGTATGCAATTGAATGGTTTCTTGGCTCCTTAAAGAAGTATGTTAGGAATCGTGCACGTCCAGAAGGGTCCATTGCAGAAGCTTACATTGCAAATGAGGCATTTTCGTTTTGCTCAATGTATTTGAGTGACATTCAGACAAGATTCAACAGATTAGCAGTGCAGGAAATTTATCTATCTTCCAATCTCGAACTCGTCCCATCGGAAAAATGTCTCTAACAACTCTGGACTAAGGTACATTTTACAGAATTGCCCGGAAGTCCAATAATACATTGAGTAAGAGATTAAAAATATTAATCATGAGTACTCGTTATATGATGTTTCCTTATTCACATTAAAATTACATGATGAACAGTGAGCACAAAGAAGTGATTAGTCTGCGCGCGGAATACCATATATTCTTTGGATTAAATTCTAATTTTTTGCTTAGTTTCATACTTGCACATGAAATTTCAGAGAAGCATGTGATGATAAAAGTGAGCATGGGAGAAAATCATATGCCCAATACATGCACGAAAAAGTAATAATTAAATTTTTGTTACTACATTTTGAGTTGTGGTATGTGGCAGTGATCGAGTGATTACATGCATTTGTTATTGGTGTTTGATGATACGAGTGTATGTTGTAGTTTTATCATGCTGCATTTTTTTGCAGATTACTTTGCAGATTTTTACAAATGCCTTGCCAGTTTTTCACAATTTTTTGGCAGTTTTTATGTTATATTGTAGCTTTTATTGGCTGCAGTTTTTAGGTATGATGCAGTTTTTTTGCATACTAGAGTACTTATATTTGTGGTAGTGATTACTGATAGACCAAACACCGTTTAAATTCAAGCTAGTAATTTAATGTTGATGTTAGTTATTGACCATTCATGTTATTTTGATCATTGACAATTATAATGAATATTAATCTGGATGATCCAGTAATCAGTGAGCAGTACTCGACTCTTGAAAATTGGAATCATCAACATTTGACTCGTACTGGTGAATGGAGAACTGAAGAAGCAGAAGAAAAATATGTAAGTATATGTTGGGTTAATGGGCCTGACCGTGGGCCGACCCATTACCCCTTAACAGATAAAGCACCAAGGCCCAATCGGCGTGATCCATCCAGATTACTGGAGGACGAGCGTCAGATACCTCAGTACGACCCATTACCCCTTACTTGCTTGCATCGTAAATCCATTAAACTCTCCACTCGAAATCCAAGGGAAACGTGTTGGGGATTTGGGTTGAAGGAGTAAACCTCAACACTGGTGCCGCCGTCTTTGGGAAACCGATAAAAAAGTCTCTCCAAAAACAAGCTCACCAAAAAGGAGATCCTTACGAACCTTACAAGCAAGCGAGATGGCAAGAAACAATTATGGACACGCTCTGTTTGGCGTAAATTTTTAGTAAGTAAAACGTAGTTGGCTAATTCAGATAACAACAAGACCACGAGTATCGTCTCTCAAGGAGTGACAAAAGGGAAATTTTAAATACAATCTGTGATCACAGGCTAGCACAAGTCATGTTAATCTTTCAAATAACTATTTTTGGATGGTAAAAAAATAACAAACAGCAAACGCAAAAATAAAAAGAGTAAAAAAATTAACTTGATTCTAGATTTTAAAACAGGGTTCAAATTGGATGGTTCGTGTTCTGTGTGTTCTTTCGGGATTGGAATTAAGTAAATTAGTTTTCAATTATTCCTGAAAAGAAAATGAAATAAATTCTCATAGACAAGAATTAAATCAAATTATCACAATCTTAACTTATTTCTAAGATCAGATTGCTTGTATAAGACCCAAGCTAATTTAACGCACATTCCATAGACAAGAATTGAATTAAATCTAAACATTCATATATGAGGTGATCAAATTCATATAGACAATTAAGAGTAATCTTATACAATTTTCCAGAAAATTAATTGAATTTCAAAAACTAAATTCACACCTTCAAGAACCCATGAACTCTAGCCCTAATTCAAACCCTAGATGGAATTAGCTACTCATACTTGAAACAAACATCACAATAATATTGATCAACATGGTAAGGCACTCGATAAATAATTGATAAAATTGGAAAGAAATGAATGAGTTATTTAAATGGGAAACTAAAAAATTATTAGCCGTAGAAGAACAAATTATGAAATTCAGTCCAAAATCAAGAATAAGGCTATAAATGAAGATTACAGTTATAAGCCGACTAACGAGTGAATTTCTCTCTTTCTCAATGCAAAGAGAAACGTGACCCCAAAAACTTTCATTTTGTCAGAACTACTGGAGTACTGGTACAGAAGAAGGGAGAGATTCAAGGAGAACCAGGTGTGAAGAGGAACATGAATTAGCCGTCCAATCGATCCTAAAAACTCTGGTTTTTTCAGAGCCACCGACTAGAAGCTCCCCTAAAATGTCGCTAAAAAGTCCCCATCTTTTCCACAGTTTTGAACCCAAAAGGTAATGCATTATAGACTTTACCGCGGTTACACATACGGAGTATAACATATGGGTTGTACAGGTGTCCACGAGTCCGAAATCTGAGGGAAGTTGAATAGAATGTAGCTCACATTGTTTCTTTTTACAGAAAAAATGGCAATTTTGACCAGCCATCGTTTAACTCAGTTTAGAATTTTGTTGACGAACCATGATCTATCTAGACAGTTTCTTTTTATTAATCAAGTGTTAGTTAGTAGTTATATGTAATTGTTCATAAAATGAAAGTGGATTTTGATGTAAAGCCAAGTAAGATTGGCCCTTTTTCATTCTACTTCATTTATGGATTTATATTTTAGAATTATGATACGAAATTAGGGGGGAAAGGGTTGTTCATGGAACATTCATAATGGGTTATTCTGGCCTGAGATTGTTCTGAGGGGTTGACAGCGATATGGGCAGTAGAATTAGATTTGTTGATGAAGTATGTTGTTGTCCTTATTGAGTAAACGGTCATTGGAGGTTGATTCAAGGTATAACTATACCACATAAATGCAGTATTTCATTCTTATGTTTTTAATCTGATTTATGATTTCTGATTTGTCACACTGTAATGTCATCTAGCCAGATTAATAGAGGCTTCATTTTTAGCCCCAAATTCCCGATTATTGACTAATTGAGTAATTGGTATTTGGTATATCACTCCTTTGGTATATGTAGCACATTGTCAATCTCATGTGCTTGATACTATGCTGATAACTTGATAGGGACACATATGGATTTACTGTGAGGCCTCATCACCTTCAAAGATACCGAGAGTATGCTAATATCTATAAGGTACAAGTAGTGCTTTATCACCCCATTGTTTCTACCATTAATTCTATGTTGGTGGCTTGGTGTAATTTTACGCAACAAATACCATCAGTAAATCGAAATGATGATGGTATTTGATCATTTATAATAATTTGAGAGAAGGCATGAAAGAGTCCATATATGATGGAAAGCATTAAGAATGACAAAAATCATGGAAAATATTCATTTCTTTATTCTCATAAAAAAGAAACAGATTCTACTAATTATACGATGCTTTCATGATGTTGTATGCTTTAATATCTATATAATTCCATAAGTTTGGTTCAGGAAGAGGAAGCAGAAAGATCACATAAGTGGAATACTTTTCTTAACAGCCAAGAAGTTTCTGTTCAGCAGCAATATCCTAGTCAAGAGGTCTACACAACTGATAATTCTGAAACAAGAAATCATACAAGTATTGGCGATGATTCACATAGAGAGAAACCACTTTCTGACATTCATACAACAAATCTTCTTGAGAAAGAGGTGGAAACTTTCATACAACCAAAAAACCGTGAGGTGAAGACATGGACTAACATTAGATCATCTCTATTTGCTATTGAAACTATGATGGCATTTCGTGTGAAGAACAAAAGTAATATGAAAGGTGAGCAGTTATCGTCTTCTCATGATAACCTTCCGCCAATTGGAGTTTCAAATCCTTCGAGGGAAGAAACCGAAGACAAGGATGATGAGAGCAGCAATGTGATATTGAATGACAGTTCCAAAGCATTTGCTGAAGGACGTAGTGCAAGAGATGGAGTTTCTGCAGAACCTTCTGTTCCTTGGAAGGATGAACTTGAGCTACTTGTTCATGGAGGAGTACCAAGATATCTTCGCGGAGAGGTGTTCTTGTTACATGCCAACCAGCGATAAGATTCTTCATTACTTTTATTTCTAACATCGAGATGCTGTTAAATAATTCAGGTTTGGCAAGCCTTCATTGGTGTCAAAGCGCGTCGGGCGGAGAGATATTACCAGGTTTTGAGCTTCTCCGAAAGTGATATTGGTCCTCACCCAAAGAATGGCACACCATCAGAAGACAACAGTAGCACGGGATGCAACAGTGGACCAGCTGATGTGTCAGATAAATGGAGGAAGCAGATTGAGAAGGTCATTAGATGCATGGGCCCTGGAATTTATCATTCAATCTTTTAAATTCATAGGTGCTACTTCTTTTTAGGATCCGGGGTGTTCATTTTAGAATGTTGCTCATTGTTTTGTCTCCTCCTGTTCTACTTCTATACCTCCGATATGCCAAAATAGTCAGTTGTCCTAGCGGAGGCGGTTTTACTCATTTGCCATTAAAGGAGTGGGGCTGCTTCATGCGTGCTGACTGTTCTTAGTGGCGTGTTTTAGCCTGACATGCTCCTTTTTTGTATATCCTGTTTTTTACCAACAAGATGATTGTTCCTTCTTTTAATTTTTCTAGCAGATAAAACTTTCATGCTGTGTAGTCTTTACATAACCCAGTTTTTCGTTGCCTGTTATGTTTTTCCCTTCATTTCCATAATGTAGGATCTTCCCCGGACTTTTCCTGGACATCCTGCACTGGATGAGAATGGTCGTAATTCCTTAAGGCGCTTACTTCTTGCATATGCCCGACATAACCCATCAGTTGGGTATTGCCAGGTAATTCTTAGCTCAATTATAGTTGTATCTCAATTCAAAGCCTTAAATGAATTTCTCTCAATTCCATGAGCCGTTTAAGTAAATGGCGCAACTGTTTTTTTAATCTTTGAAAGGCTCATTTCTTCACATGTACCACAATTACCAAGCATCTCTTGCAGGCAATGAATTATTTCGCCGGTTTATTGCTACTCATGATGCCAGAGGAAAATGCCTTTTGATAAGCATTCAGTGAAGCTTGCCCAAGGTTTACATTCTTTTTTAGCATATAGAAAAGAAAGTTCTTCTTGATCAGATCATAACTCCAGCCCTATTATGTTTAGCATACATATTATACCAATAGGAACTGAAGCTTGGTTTGCATAAAACCATAATTTAGTCTTTTTAGTTGGCATCATTACAGTCATGTTCATTTGAATTTAGACCAACATACTTGGCACTCCCCTTCAAGTAAGAGCTTATAGATGTGCTGAGCTGCAAGTTGACATAACTATAACAACAACAAGATTAACACTCTCCTCTGCTTGAAATTTGAAAAACAATAATGACACTTTTTATAAAAGAACTCCAAAATATATATGCCACTAATGAAATCTGGACACTCTCTGGGCATAATTATGACATAATAGGTGTGAAGTCAAAATTAACCATAAATTGGACTTTATGGAAATAAACATGTGATGTGGGAATACAGTGGTCTTTGAAATTAGAAGCACCAATTTTAGAGATGAAAAATCACATTTCAAGAGGTTCGGTGAGTGTATTGTATTTTGGTAAAGCAGGTTGTGGAGATTGGAGGTCAATTTTTAGGCATGGAGTAACTATGTAACTCCCCTGATAGAAATAATAAGTTTTTTATTGACCATGGACAAGAATAATACGGAGTAGGAAAATACTACATAAGATTTGACTTTGACATTTTTGTGTGATTTAATTCCCGAAGTAGGAGTAAAAGCTGTAAAACAATGCAAAAGTGCAAAAATAGGAGTCAGAAGTTTTCTATGAATAAAAAGAAAGGAGTTAGCAAAAATGCCTTTTTATTGTAAAACTTCCACCTCTAGAAAGCAACCACCACCAGACCACCACCACTGCTAAGCAACCACCAACACTGCCAGTCATCGCCGGAAAGTCACGGGGTTTCCACCCGCCAAACACTCATCGTGAAGTAGCCGGCTCTGCCAGCCAACCACCTGACACTAAATGAGATTGGTAAATCCTAGAAAGGCTAACCCTAAACCCTAAGAGAGATTGGTAAACTCTAAAACCTAATGCTAAACCAGAGGGGGAATTAATGGGCAGGAGTAGAAAAGTAACGCTAACTCCTATTAGGAATTTAAACATGTACTCCTATTTTGGCACTTTTACAATATTTAACTCCTATTTTGCGGCAAATACTTTTTTTGCGTTATAAAAAAAACTGTGATACCATGTTGGAATTAATTGAAGAGTTTATGTATTGAGGCCTGGTGATTGCTAATCGGCACGGGTTGATAGTCAATGAGGCAAACCCCAAAAGATATGAGCAAGTGAGTTGTGAGAGTATATTAATATAGTATACTTCCTCCGTTCTTTTTTAGATGCAACATTTCCATTTTCACATTTGCCAAAGCTAAAAATGATAAGATAAAAAGGATAAAAAGAATATATGTAAAATAAAAAGGATAAAAGGATAATGAACATAAGAATGATAGAGAAGATAGAAGGACGAAAAAGATGATAAGAGATCAATCTTCCACACAATATTTGCCCTCCTATTTGCTCTCTCCAAAGCCATACTCTCATCCAAGCCAAGAAGAAGTATATCACTCCTGACTCATCTAATCCACTTCTGTCTTGGTCTTCATCCCCCTATCATTTGCTAATAGTAAAAAATTAAAAATTCAGATTTTGAAAATTTACAGTCAACTTTATCAATATTTTTTAGAAAAACGGATTTATACATTAATAAATGAAATATAGTCAAAGTAGAGCATGTGAATAGTGTAAATTCAACATGTTGCGATTATTTAAGAATGGAGGTAGTATTATCTTTTGATGATCACATAATAAAAGGAGAAACTAATTTAAATGCCCCAAACTTTTGAGGGATACGAGGTAAGCTTCCCAAACTTGTATAACTAATATAATTACTCTGAAATTTATGTAAAAAGTTATCTTAGCATCATGACCATATAATTTTTCTTTCACAAATGTAAATTTATAGTGGTTAAGTAAATAATTTAAATATTCTAACTTTCTAAGCAATTTTGAGTTTGCAATTAACATTATAAACTTGTTTCTTAATGTTATTTATTTAAAATATTGAAGCTTAGATAATAATTTCATCCTTGTAAATGCTCAAACTCTCAAAGTATTTTAAATTTTATATTTTAACACTATAAATTTACAATTGTGAAAGAAAAACCATACTATGGTGGTGCTAAGATAAATTTTATATAAACTTCGGGGTATTTTTATTACATGTGAAATTTGGGGTGCTTACCTCACCCCTTAAAAGTTTGGGGTATTTAAATTATTTTCTTGTAATAAAATACGGAGTAGAAAAACTCCTATGGCTACATTGGTACACTCTAGGTTGGATGGTTATCTTCCAAACCGTGACTATCATTCTTTACGGATGTTCGATTTAACCATCCTAAACTCTTTCAGGGCCTTGGTGGGTATTATGGATGACTATTTTGATGGATGTTTCTCACAAGAAATGATAGAATCTCAGGTTTGTGTAACACCTTTACTCATTTTAAAAACATCTTTACCCAGTTGAAGATGACTTTGGTAGTCTCTTTCATTTTCAGGTTGACCAGCTTGTTTATGAAGAGTTGATGCGTCAAAGGTTCCCTAAACTGGGTCTGTACATTGTTTAATTAATGATTACCTGATTCCTCGATTCTTGCCATATAGGAGAGCTTTAGGTCCTTAATATATGAATTTGCTGCAGCGAATCATCTAGATTACTTGGGAGTGCAGGTTACATGGATATCTGCCCCTTGGTTCCTTTCGATTTTTGTAAATATTCTTCCGTGGGAAAGTGGTAAGTTGAAAGCTGTACAATAAGTGAATTTCAATTCAATCATAGAACTGTACTTCAGCCACATCTGTTATCTGTATTACACTTCCTCTTGAAATTGCAGCTAATATACCGTGCCTGTCATTCATTCTATTTCTTTGCTCTTCTTCAGTTCTACGAATTTGGGATGTACTTCTGTTTGAAGGAAGTCGTGTCATGCTATTTCGAACTGCTCTTGCTTTGATGGAATTATATGGTATGGAACTGCTCTTAACTTCGTTAAACAATTGCTTTATGTGCGAGCATGGTGGTTTTATCTCTATTTTATCCCTTATTATATAATAAATTTTCCAATTCACTAAAAAAGGAAAAACATATATGCTGCTATTGTTGCTTTCTGTCGATATAACTGACTGTCCATTAGAAAATATTGTGATGATATTCAAATAAATGCAGGTCCTGCTATAGTGACAACTAATGATGCTGGAGATGCCATAACTTTATTACAATCCCTTGCTGGTTCAACTTTTGATAGCAGTCAACTTGTGTTGACTGCATGCATGGGTTTCTTGAATGTAACTGAAGACAGGTTGCAGGAACTTGGAGAAAAGCATAGACCGTCTGTTATTTCAACACTAGAGGAAAGATCAAAATGTTGTGGAGCGTTAAAAGATTCAAAAAGTCTTGCAACTAAGCTGTATAGTTTCAAGCATGATCCTCAATTGAGAATGAAACAAGCAAAATTGAAGGAAGATCCAGGTGATAGGATTGTAGACAGTGATTATTCACATTCCAGGGCTAGCTCCACTAATCTGGAAGATTTTCTGAATAGCATGACCTCAGATTCAGAAGCAGATTCTATTCCAGATCTTCAAGAACAGGTAACTTGAATGACTGGTTTCCAGAGCATATTCTAGTTTGTTATTGTCCTAGCATAGAAAAAAGTGTCATTCTAAAAGACTGTATGCTTCTGGTTTGTTGTATTGTAATATTGTTGAAGCTATATGTTCTCTCTGCAGTTCTTTAGTTTAAGAAAAATTGAATGCTCCTGTGGACCTGTGCAGATATTATGGTTGAAGGTTGAGTTATGTAATCTACTGGAAGAGAAGAGAGCAGCAGTACTCAGGTTAGTTTTCAAGTGTGATTTTTTATGTAGTCTCTACCGAGTTGTTTTCAGGTGCTTCTATATTCTTGTTAAACTATGAAAACCTGCTAAGATATTGAGCTCTTTAACTCTACTTTGAAATATTTTGAACCAGAAACATTTTCTGCAGTCATGCATGTTCATGCAATTTTTTATCACCATTGATTTAATTTTAAATGTTCCAAAGATACCATATTAGCAGCATATGGTTGCTAAAGCCCTCAGAAAATTAAGAAGCTGACCTTTTCTATACCTCGTGGACATTCTTTTTTAGAGCTGAAGAATTGGAAACTGCACTCATGGAAATGGTCAAGGAAGATAATCGACGAGAACTTAGTGCACGGGTATCCAATATATTTGTGACTTTGGAGTTTATATGCTTACTATCTGCTGCTAAATACTAACACATACATTATCAATATAAAGAGATAAATGAGAAAGAGGTACTGGTAGATATGGGCCTGCCCATATCAGTAGAATATAAACTTTGACAGATAGATACTAATAAAAAATCTCAAAAACAGTCTACTACCTGGGCGATTGATATACCTGAGAGTTGTTTTTTTCTTTCTATTTCATAGAATATTAGCCAATCTGTATTAGCTATGATCCTTGATTATTTAGTAATTGCCCTAAATAGGACTAAATGGAAACTTACTTCATAATGTTTTAATTCATAATAAAATCGTAAAGAAATAATAAAAATCGTAAGAAAATAATACGTAGTAAAAAATTATTAAAATATTTATAAAATAAAATTTTAATTTTTTTTACTTGAAAAAATAATAATAAAAAATAGTAAAAATACATAAAAAAATGGATGCCTTTCCCACCCCCTCTACCGCCTCCCAACACCACCACCTCCGATCGGTGAAAAAAATGCCATTTTAGCTGAAAATGCCAAGAAAATTGCATTAGTACTCTTGATAATGCCAAAATTTTCACTGAAACTGCCATCAATATGGCGTTACTAATACATGTTGGCATTTTTTACGATGATTGGAGCTGGTGGTGTTGGGGGTGGCAGAGGCGACCGCAAAGGGTTGTATATTTTTTTTATCTTTTACGTTTTTATTTTATTTTTTATTTTATTTAAATTTATACTCCGTATTTTTTATTTTTCTAATTTTTTATTTTTATTAATTTTATTAAATATTTGTTTGTCCTAAAAGCTACAGGGGTATACATGTCCAAAAACTCATGATTAGTCCTATTTAGGGAATTTAAAACATGGTAGTCCTATTTGTGATTTTAGGCATGTTTTACTCCTATTTAGGTGATTAACTCTTGATTATTTGATGGTAACCTGCACACATGTTGAGCAGCTGGAACAACAGTTGACTGAACTTCACCAAACACTTGCAGATAAGAAAGAACAGGAGACCGCAATGGTTCAGGTATAGTATGTCAGAACCACTTCTGTGTCTTCCATCTCCTGTAATTATTTTACAAGTATATGTTTTGTGCATCAACAAAAAAAATACCATTGCATGGATTGCATTTTAGGTTCTTATGCGGGTTGAGCAAGAGCAAAAGATCACTGAAGAGGCTAGGATTGCTGCAGAGCAAGACGCAGCTGCTCAAAAATATGCAGCATACGTTCTTCAGGTTCCTTCCTTTGATTTGAAATACGTGCTAATAAGCTTTTGTCATCCCTTCAGTTTGTTTTTTGGAAACTTCAAAAGTACCATTCTCTTTGTCCTTTGGCCTTCTGTTTTAATGGTTGGATACCCCCAAAAAAGTAGAGCTGTCTTCTGAGCCTTTTTGTCCTGTACAGCTATTTTTTGGTAATTTTCCAATAAAGAGTCGGCATACAAGTTACAGTGACTAATTTGATTAATGAACATAAAACAGAGTAGCATTCATATCTAATGGCAATTCTACCTTGTAAAAATTAAAATCTTGAATCTTGGTCAAACATGACTCTTTTTTGTTGAACATCACACATATTAATCTCAGTTTCCCTTTACATATCTTCATTGGGCCCACAAACAATTTCATTGCAGGAGAAGTATGAAAAAGCCATGACATCCCTTGCTCAGATGGAGAAGAGAGCAGTAATGGCAGAATCGATGCTGGAAGCAACTGTGCAATATGAAACTGGTCAAGTCAAAGCTTTAGCTTCGCCACAGTATGTATACATATTTTGTACTTATATTTCCCTGCTATTCTGCTGTGTATCTTTGCTTCCTAGAATATCTAATTCCGTAACTGCTCTGATCCTGATCCCAAGCTTCCTGCCCTTTCGACAAAGAGATTTTTGCCTTGACTGTATTGAGAATTTGAGATAAATTGACAATCCTTAACCTGAAATGCATTTCTTTCTGAACGTTCCTTTTAACCATGGTAATGTGAGCTTCATAAGGAGATGATGCCTGTTGATGGTCACATGCATTTTAGGTCGAGAGCTGAATCTCCAAGGAATGCACCCACAAGAAAGATTGGTTTACTGTCCTTCGGCCTTGGTTGGCGAGATAGAAACAGGGTATGTGTACAATATTATTGATATAAAGAGGGTATGAGGGTGATTGAAAAAGGATAAATTAAAATTCTGATTCTTAGGCTCCATATGCTTGCGTTGTAAAATGATGTCTTTAAAAAAAAGGTTTCCTGAAAAATAAGTTGTACTGTGTAGTATATACAATGTTTAATGCACAAACAGAGAAGATAGAGCTCCTCCAAAAGAGAAAATTGTTTTCCATTGTCAAGCACAAGACAATAAAAAGGGGGCAGCCCAGTGCAAATTGGCATCCCTGCAAAGCGAGGGTACAATGAAAGGTCCCACCATAAGGGTGTATAGGGAGCAAGCCTTCCCTTGTCAATTTGACAAGAGGCTGCTCCCAAGATGAACCCCTGTGATGTTTTGGTCACACAGCAAGCACAATACAATACATAGGGATTTTTTTTTGAAACAAACCAAACAATGCCTAAGAGTCAGAATCAAAACCATGCATGACAGATAATCAAGCGGGCCTACTACCCTGATTTGAGTCTGAAACAAAATAATTTGAAACAAAATGAAAAGCAGATTTGGTTTTAAAATCATGGGGTAAGTTTTCTCTCATTTAGTTTAAGGCTGTCAGAATTACTAAGTAAGTTTGCCAAACACACTAAAGTTTATTCTTCCAACTTCTACTGCCTTGAACAACATCTGTTTAATAAATAAAAAATTGAAACAAACCCTCACACAAAAGTTGATAATTTTGGTCAGGCTATGCAGTTAAGCTTTCGTTAGGGTGGTGGAATATTTTGCTTTGGTTAGGAGGTTGCTTATCAGTGGATAAATAAAATTTGATGATGTCAGGGAAAGCAAGACAGTGATCTTCCATCGCCACGAATTGGAAGGAAACCTTCTGCAGCTGCTGCTCACGGACATAACATAAGCAGTTCTCAATTTCAAACTAATGGATTGAATCAAGATGATGATGAAGATGGTGGAAAAACTACCGAAGATTGACAAGTGCATCCATCTTCTTGGATCCCCTCTAACTTATCCATTTTTTGTTTGTACAGTAGATTGCTACTACAAAATGTAAATTAGAAAAATATTGTATGTTTTTGACCTATAATGCACGGTATGCCGAAACAACTTGGCTGTAAACTCATCATGTTAAATATCATTTTGTGAATGAAAATTTCAAATTTCAATAATATCATATAGATGTACAACTTAACTGGCCCAAGGTGATCAATACTATTCTAGTCACCCTATTGGATTTGGCGTTAGAATTAGATATCTGGTACCTGAGCATTTTGTCATCTATCTCAACCAGTTTCCTCCCTCGATCACCCTCCCTTGAACTGGTCATAAAAAGTGAGAGCCAGTCTCATTGAACCAGAACTGGTTATTAAAAGTGAGAGTTAGTATAATATCTCCAAAATGGATATGGGCTAGACACGACAACCAAGGATAGACATGCTGGGATAGCAAGCAAGTTTGTTGAAAGAGGCAATCCTCTTGAAGGGTTTTTTATAGACAGAGAGGTGAGTCAAGAGTAGCCTCCCGCCTGACTGATTTTCTCAGAGTCGGAGGGGGTTTTCTCGATGAGTCAATGTGTTCTGGACAGACATGAGAGTAACATTTGGTGCACATTTTATGTCCATACTCCAAAGTAGGGGTGGATAGTTCCTGGACTTTCAAGCAGTAACTGATCCAGGCATCCAGCCGACAGTTGTACTGTTTCCTTTTATATATGGAGTATTAGGCTAGAAAAATGGGCAGAAACTGAAGTGAAATTATATACAGAACTGTGAGTCAACTGATCTGGAACAAGACCAGTGTTACCGGTTCCTGTTAAGGTTCCTAAACCGAACTGGCTCATGCACACCGCCTACTCCATAGCATGAACGAAGGCGGCTACCTAATGAGTAAACACACTTCAGCATGCAACAAGAGTATTAACCATTTTTAAATTCACAATATTGATTTTTAAAGCCTTCATGCTGGAATAGCAAGCAAGTTTGTTGACAGAGGGGCAGAGCTTCTGCTCTCTTCTTGAAGGGGTTTTATAGATAGAGAGGTGAGTCTAGGGTAGCCTCCCGTTTGACCGATTTTCTCGGAGTCGAAGGGGGTTTTCTCGTTGTGTTCTCGACACACATGAGAGCAACTTTTGGTGCATCGTTTTTATGTCCATACTCTAAAGTAGGGGTGGATAGTTCATGAACTTTTAAGCAGAAACTGATCCAGCCGACAGTTGTACTGTTCTTTTTCATACGTAGTATTAGGCTAGAAAAATGAGCTGATTCAGCTGAAAATGAACTGGAATTATATACATAAGTGTGACTCTGTGAGAGTGTGAGTCAACATATCTGGAACAAGACCAGTTTTACCAGTTCCTATTAAGGTTCCTAAACCGAACTGGCTCATGCATACCCCTACTCCATAGCATGAACAAATGAAGGCGGTTACCTAATCAGTAAACACATTTTAGCACGTAACATGACTATTTAACAATTTTAAATTCACAATATTGGGTCCACAATTAATCAACTTTACTTGATGCTATGTACTATTGACAATTTGCCATTATCAGATTAACATGAGAGATGCAACATGGCAGGAATGTAATACTAATTGGAATAGAGTATTCTGGACTGTCTGAATGGAACAAAGCTGAGATTGACTGGAAGTCTGGAACGTAGGCTTCAATGGAAAAAACACGACCAGTGGTTCTTGATTCCTTCCAGACTGAAATTTTCATGGACTGTCAGTCATGATCATTTCCACTGTGCAACACATGAAAGAACCATTTGATTCACTCATCCTCATTAGTACTACTGAGTAGCATTCATATCAGGCCGGTCTGACGGGAATCCTACGGGCCAACTCTATTTTTGGGGTAAAATGAACTTTATGTTTCAATTTTTTTATTCATTAGTAGCAACTATTATTTGTTTTTCATCCTTTGTAATGCAACCAAAGACTCACTATTTTTTGGCTTGAAAATATGATGGAATAAAGCAAAAACCTGACTAAACTGGTTGCACTTCTTTTTTATGAAAAAGCAGTCGGTCAATGCAATTTGCGACGCGATTTTCACTATGGGTCATCCGGAAACAGTCTCTTTGTGCAACTATTATGGTCCATTTTTAGTATTATTAGTACATGGGTAAGGCTGCATACATCCAACCCCCTTACCCCACCATAGGTGAAAGCCTTTGTGGCGCTGGGTTGATGATGATTAGTAGCAACTATTATTTCCAATCGCTAAATTAAAAAAAAAACAATCTGAGCTTAAATATGATTTTAATGATACATTAATAGATAAGTGTTAGAGGTGATAAAGTGACGTTGAAGGGTCCACTTGCGAACAGAATTAAATTCGAACGATTGAAACTAATAGGTCATACCAATGAACGGTTATCTTCAAGAATTAATTTGAATGTGTTCCCGATTGAATTTTTAGCTGAAATTTGATATGAGTAAACTAGACTTGGTGAATAAGATGCTCAAAAAATTTCATCAAAAAATTCCACCGGGAACTGCCCCAAATCGCGACGGCCGGACACAACCTCCTATAGAAGGACTTAATTGACCTTTTTATGAAAGTTCGAGGACCTATTTGACAGTTTTCCCTAAAAAAATGGACCATAAACTTCATTTTCTGCCCAAAAATGGCCCGTCAAGCCGGCCTGATACAAACGCTACTCTAGTACTACTAGGGTTGGTTTGCTATGTCTGTTTGGAAGTGATTAGAACAAGGTTCGACCTGAAATCCAGTTCATTGGTCCATCACATGACCCCCTACCTTATCCATGAACCATCTTCTTCTCTTCTTCTGAAGAAACCTGGTCAAAGCAGCTTGTCTTTTTGCAAGTTTGTTTGGATCCATTCTGTGTCCACGGAAACCACTGCCACTTGCATCACCACTTCCACCTTTCTCTGTCTTCTCATTCTGTCCATGATGATGATAACCTCCTGAAGCACACATGTTGTGATTTTCATGGTTGTCTTCAAAATGCTCATGGTTTGAAGTTGGCTGTTAGAAAAAACGTCTCAATTGATTTTCAAACATAATTATGTGTCTTGCAGTAAAGATAAGGACAAAGGAAATTGTTTAACCTGGGGGACATCACCATCATTGCCAATATTCAAACCGCAGCTTCCATTGAAATCGTCACCATTGACGCCGCTTTTGTTTTCTTGTTTCTCAACACTCTTTGAATCTACAGAATCTTGGGGTTTTGTCCCAGTTTCACTCCCACTCCCACTAGACTAAGACATGCAAACATCAATGAATAACAACAACAACATCCAAGCCTTAGTCCCAAAAGATATTGGGGTCGGCTAACATGAATCGATACATGATATCACAACCAAAAGGAAAAGAAGGAAAAAAGATAAAAAAGATAAGCTATTATGAAAAGATAATATAAAAAAGATGAATATATATAAAAGTGATAAAATAAAAAGGCTGCAAATAATGCATATATATATATATATATATAAGGATAAAAAAACTAGGAAAAAAAAAGATGAGGGAAAAAGATTATCAAGATCACTCCTTCACGTGAATACCCGCCCTCCACTTAGTTCTCTCCAAAGTCATGCCCTCATCCAACCCCAGAAGAAGCATATCACTTCGAACTCCCCTAACCCACGTCTGTTTGGGTCTTCCTCTCCCTCTCTTCCCTGCCTCTTCTCCACACATCTCAACTCGCCTAACAGGTGCATCACTCGGTCTTCTACGCACATGACCAAACCACCGTAGGCGCGACTCCCGCATCTTGTCTTCAATTGGTGCTACTCCCACCCTTTGTCTGATTGTCTCATTCCTCACGCGGTCCTTCCTAGTATGCCCACACATCCAACGCAGCATGCGCATCTCTGTCACACTCATCTTTTGAATGTGACATTGTTTCACCGCCCAACACTCTACGCAAACATCAATGAATGAGAAAAATAAAATTTTGAAAAGAGGCTTCTTACTGACCTTTCTCTTTTTCTTGTTATAAATTTCATAAATGGGATAGGACCACTCAGCTAGGTTATAACTTACAAGGCACTTGAGCCAAATCACACTGAAAGATTGAATCTAATATATTACTTAGTTCAACTCAAGGTATTATTAGCCCATCAGAGCGACCCATTTAGCCTAAACCAAGCTCTAAACCCGTATGTCTCTGTATATTTGTATTTAGAACTCTTAATCCTGACCAAAGAAAGAAAGTGTTTTAATCATATGGGAGCTTTCTTAAGTTTAATGATGAGGAAGTGAAGAAATAGCAACTACTCACACTCTGACATCTTCTCCAGACATGTTGCCATAGGTTCTTGAGCTCATTCTTCCTAACAGGTTTGACCAGAAAGTCGACAGCACCTTTTGACAAACACTTAACTACTAAACCCATAGAATCACGAGATGACATCACTGCAAATAACCCGCATTAACCGTGTAGGTTAATGAATTCAATTTTACATATGACTGACACAACAGTAAAAACCTTTGAAATATCAGAGGTTTGGAATTGCCAAAAGAAGTCAATGCTCACTAATGACAGGAAGATTCTTGCGCGTTTTATGGCTCATGATTTTGCAAAGAAGACCCATGCCTGACACACATGGCATTTCTAACTCAGCTAACACAAGATCAATAAGGTTAGTTAGCTCTTCTAAAACCTTCCATGCTTGCAATCCATTGGCCGCTACAATCACTGCATCCAACCAACAACATTGGCCAATTATATTGATATAGTTCATGAGTGTCTAATGTCTTGGGGGGGGGGGGGGGGGGGGGTTAAACCAGACCATAAAGGAGCATTAGACAAACCACACTATAGGAACGAGATGGGGTCATTCCTATTTCAAGAATTTATGAACAGATATATGTATTTTAAATAGAACTTATTCCACTTTTGATCCCATGGCATTAGGTCATTCCTACTTTTGATCCCATGGCATTAGGTCATTCCTACTTTTGATCCCAACTTTCATTTTTCCAATTTTGGTCCCAAGACTTTCTGTCACTATAGTCTCTCACCATTTATCTGGGAATTCTGTACATTTTTTAGTTGATTGGCCGTGGGGCTAAAAGCGGAAAAATGGAAGGACATAGTGGAACAAAATGTTTGAAATAGTACGATATGAGACTCTCAACATTTATTAATCAAGTAAAAAGAGCATGAACACGATCAGAATGTAAGTCAAGGAAAAGAAAGGATTAATGGTTGATTTTTATTTCATGCAAGTCCAGTTTCCTACATGAACTTCATTTTGAAGCTAATTCTTATAGGTATGGAGTACATAAATTTTGAGAAAATTATCTCAACTCAAGAAATTATAGAATAACAAAGTGAGACATATAAGTTTATAATATCTTGGGTTAATCAAACTAATTGAATAGATTCAATCTCTTGTGTGGTATAGTTGTTTGACCAATCTGCATAATAGTCTAGTTGAGTGAACTGGATCCAATTTATGAGTCATCTTGATCTCTAAGAATTAACAAGGACAATACCTGACAATCTTAATTTCACCACAGTTCAAACAATGAAGGTTGTCAATGAAAGAAGTATAAACCTTCGTAATTGCAGTTCCGGAGCAAAGCAGTAACAATTTGTCTGGTGGAGTCATCACTCTCTACCAGCAGAACCTTGATGGATGAGATGTGGAGAAATTGTTCCCAGTAGATGTTTCCACCCAGACTTTGCAGTCTTTGTGGTTGAACCGGTAGATCACCTTGGCCTTGTATTGCTGCATCATTTACATCACCAATGATACTTTTAACCTTCATTTTGTCATCCACAATGTTACTCCTCCTTCCTTCACTTTCAATTTCAACTTTGTTTCTATCATCGGCCAATTCTTTCGCTCCCTCTGACATGATGCTCTGAAACACCCCCCTGCCAAACACATTCGAGAACACTGAGCAACAGTTTATGTATCCTAAGAAAATATTCAACGGATTCAGTCCTGCGACTATTAGGCCATTTTCACATTTGATGTTTGGGTTTTCACTAATAGGCCATTTTCACATTCCAAAAACTTATGGCTGACTCCCATACAACTTTCAAGGTAACTTTTGGAGTGATTAGAAAGAACGAAATGGAGCTAGAAGATGGGATTTTAACGGTGGGGTAAAAATAGAATACTTTCTATATATCTTCTTAGTAGACAGCAAAACATCAAGAAATTTTCTAATTTCTTTGAGAAAAAGTTCAACACCTTCATCATAAGGTAATGTTCTTCATTGCTGGTTTTTACATGATAGTTGGTTTTAATTTGGGAAATGGACAATCGATATAAATCACTAAATTCTAGAGACGATCCACAAAAAAGTGACATGAACGAGTATTACTACTAAACAAAAGAAAACCAGAAAAAATTAACTTTGAAGGAAAAGAACTATCTTTAAGATGCTAAAAATTAAAACATGTTTAAGAGAAAGACAAATCTTTCCATGATAAACAAAATTTATAAGGATTTAAAGATAAGCATATTTACCTCCTAAGATCATCGATGGAGGGCTGAAGCTTCACACCCTGACCTGGAATCACATTAGAAAAGTCATAAAATATAGCAAAAACACCATGACGGATGAAAAATTAAATGGAAATATAAAACAGGATTATATTTTGTAAATTACAATCAATTGGATAAGAGCCTGGAAGGTAAAGAAATGAATCAAATGACTAAGGAAATTGGTTTGGAGTTAAAGACATGGATTGAGAAACAGAGTGCAGAGAGAGGGGATCTCTTACAAATTGAGAAACAGTAGTATACGTTTAAAGTGATGAAAGTTTAGTTGTGTTACTTGTGTACTCTACTTACCTGATTAATTATGATCAAATTACCAAATTGTTAAAAAAAAAAGTTAATTACCGAATTGGTAAAAAAAAATCCGGAGATGAACCGGTAAAATAAAAATAAAAGTGCGGTGATAAATCGGCCAATTTTTGTAAGAGACAATTTTATTCATTGGCTTTAGAATTTTTATATTTAGTTATTTTAGTATTGCAAACACTAACAACTGTACTACTCCGTAGTATTTAAAAAATTATACTCCATAAAATTACTATGAATAATTTTATTATTTCATCAGTATGAATATTTTTTCTCTTTTTTATATGGAGTAGCATTTTTAAAATAACTAAGAAAGTAGTCACATTTAAAATATTAATAATTTAATTCTAAACATAAAAGAATTTATGTGTGTTTGCTCATGTAAACGTAGATGTGTTAAAAATGATAGTGATAGTAGTTATATAAAATAATTTAAAATATTAATAATTCAATTCTAAACATAAAAGAATTTATGTGTGTGCGCTCATGTAAACGTAGATGTGTTAAAAATGATAATGATGTTAGTTATATAAAATAGATGTATATATAATTTTTAAAACTTTCCCCAAAACTTATTAAAAACAAAAGAAATACAGTTAAGTTAAATATATATACTTTTAACTTGATATTCTTAATAGTCGTTTTACGTCTTAACAAATAATCGCAAACATCTAAGTTATTAAACATTTTACTTCAAATCGATAATGAGATTGAATGGTTACAACAACTAACAGAATTCGTTAGTATCGACCTGCTGATTCAATCGCCTATCAACTAGCAACCAGCCGCTAATTATTAAACACACTCGTTAACATTTTTAGTCATCCACTTTTCAAGATAAAATCACAGTAGAAGAACTGGAAATATCAATCCATAATATTTAGGGATTGTGAGTATTGAATGAGTATTAGTTTGAATTCACCTTACTTTATTCTTGTAGACACCATTATTAGTTTGGACTATTTTTATAAACACTCTTAATAAGGATTATTAATATATAATCACTAAAAGTGAAGGTTATTCATATGAATTTCATCAAGAAAGTAATTAGTCTAACAATCCGTCAAGATAATTCGTGTAGAATTCTATCATTCTTGCGCTCGCCAATTTGCTCTCGCCACGTTACTCCTTGAAGTTTGTCATTGAAATTCATATCCGAGGTGCAGAAGAAATCTCTATCATGTTGTCTTGTGTTTCTTCGCCCTCAAAAAATCCAAGTCGTCGATAATACAACAAATTACGCTCCACCTACAATCGATCGCGGCCAAGATCACCGGCGGGAAAGACACGAACCCCAGCCGCGAACTGAACCTCCTAGCATGACCAAGCGCCCCTATCACGTCTGTACTTCATCAAGAACGAAAGCGGAGAGCAGACCCCTACCACAGCCGCACTTCGTATAAAAATATCAAAATTTTGGGGGCCCTAAAATTTCAACATTTTTTGGCCCTGAGGCCCGTGCCTCTCCTCCCTCACACCAAGCACGCCCGTGCTTTAACTTTGCACTCCATATTTTGGGTGTTATTTGTAAAATAAGGTGATTTTACACCTTATTTTCAAAATGATTAATGTATGCACCCCAATTTATTTTTTGATCACTATGCACCCCAATTTATTATAAAATCATTTGACTTTGTACCCCACTTCTTCACAATTTTTGGGCTGCTGGAGTGCATACATTAATGATTTTAAAAATGTGATGCAAAGTCAAATATCATCCAAAATATGGTATCTAAAGTCAAATTCAGGATGTAATGTCAAATTCTCAAAATAAATAAATCAGTTACAAGTATAAGAGATTCAATTTAAACTATAGTAAAACATACATATATCAAATGTTTATTTGATTAGACTAGATCAAATCAGATATGAACAAAACATAGCAAACTAAAAAGTCCAGTCCAATAAAAAACATCTTATGTGACGAAAACATGTGTACAAAGTTTTTCTGGTAATAGCATTTTAGTTGATTTTTTTAGATTTTTGGGAGACAATTTGATAGGCCAATGGCCATAGGTTGATGGCACTTTTTGAGGAACAAAAAATATTCAAGTTGTCAAGTAACTTGTGGTGTAATGACATCACTATTCATCTCCCAAAGAGTAAATCGCACGTTCGAGTCTCATCTCAATCAAGAATGTTGGTATTAACATGAAAAAATACTATAATAAGTTTAAAAGAATATTCCAAAAAAGAAAATATTCAAGTTAACAATGCTTTACCAGTCTTTTTTTGAGGAAATTGTGAAGCTAGTTTTGAATTTTGAATTCGAGATGTTGGACGAATAGAATGGAAGAGCTTATATTTCTTTAATTTTTCTGATTAGCACTTATTATCTTTCACAAACTTAATTGTTCTATAATTCTTCTTCCTTCAGACTTTTTATTAAATCTAAATTTCAATTAAACAATCAAGTTTTTTATAATAATGAAAAATTACATACGAAGTACGATACAACAACAATAATAAGATCGGACAATGAATTTTCTTTATTTTTCAAATTTTTATCAAGCCTCTTCCATTAAAAATCTCAGAAAGCCTCCACCAGTCCACCTATATATGTGTGTGTGTGTATCACACAGAAAAAAGTTATTATCAAGACTTCTTGATCGGAACTATCATCCAAACTCTGCGGTTAATGATTTTGGAATACATTACCGAACATATATGTGTATATATACGTAGTATTTAGCATGTCTTAATAATAACATGTCATAATGATTTTGGAATACATTACCGAACTATGAGTGAAAAATCTAGCATGTCAGATTGTGGAATACATTACAAGTTTACCAAACTTTGAGAGAATTTAGCATGTGATAATAATCCAAACAAGAGGCAAGACAGGGATTAGGTCATTTCGGTTAGGGGAGGTTTTTGCCTTATTGTGGCCTAACTAATGCTTCCCCAGTCATTCTAGATAGTATATTGCAGAACCCTTTTATGAAAACAGCAACACTTATGATATAGATTGTTACTTTGATGTTCAGCATGCTCTCCTCGAGATGATTCAAGGAAAACAAAGGTTGACTCCAACATAATAGGCCATAAGCGTCTTGAAAAAATGGATAGGGTTCTTCATGTGTCCATTCATCAGCTTTTATTTATTTCCATGGCCTGCATAAACTTCATGGTTCAATTACTTGTTCCAAAGGTTGAATCCCCAACCCCAAAGGCCCTTGCGCTCAGGCCTGACAGAGCAAATTTCAAGGTTCAATTACTTGTTCCAAAGGTTGAATCCCCAACCCCAAAGGCCCTTGCGCTCAGGCCTGACAGAGCAAATTTCAAGGTTCAATTACTTCAACACACTTAAGGATAGCCAGAATATCTCCAAAGAATCTCTCCGAGGACCCCAAGTCTTCCTATTAGAGTTCAAACAATCAATATTTTCTCATTCAAATTTCCTGAAACACCACAGTCCACAGGAAGAGTCATCAATATAATATACAACCTGGCAAGAATCTCTTATTTCAGATACAACAAATGTATTTTCTTAAGTCAAAGTTATGTTTGAGTTCCCTTTATAAAAAATGTAACAGCAAAGCCAAACTTGTCAATCCATAAACACGAAGAGCAAGCATTAAATCCTGATTGATTCAATGTCTGGGCAAGACAACAAAGAGAAATGAGCGCTCCAGCAAAAATGTATAATAAGATGCTCACATTTCTGCTCACCCAATATAAAAAAGGGGAACGTAAACTAGAAACTTTTTAACGGTGAAAGTTGGTGTCAGGTGTTTTTAGTACATTTAACAGAAAAGCCAAACTTGCACAGCCACATAACAAAGGAGAGCAAGCATTAAATCCTGATTGATTCAATATTGGGTGAGATAACAAGAATGAGCATTCCCACAACAATGTGAGGTCAGAAGCTTGATGTCTTTCTCACCCATACTCAAGACACTATAGTCTGAGTTACATATGTAGTATATCCCAAGATAATCAGATGGATAAATTGCGTATATATCAACTATGTTTGTTCTAGAATGTTGTCTACAAGACTTATATACCTCA